CAGGTGGAAGTAACGTTTACGGAACTTTGTGTTCACGATGGCGAGATTATGGGCTTCTGCATATTCCAAGATGCCTTCGCCATCGGCGTTACGTGTCCCATGACCGAAAACACCATAACAGCTGTAACCGTCTCTCTTTGCGCCTATGTGCCCGTTAAGATCATCAGCGGCAATTATGACGTCCTCTGACGGTACCTTAGCTGTCTTTTCCTCAAGCAGAGTCCAAAACCCGTCCTTTGATTGTTCAGCGCATCCCCTTTGCGGAGCATATACAGAAAAGAAGTGGTACAGTCGCTGTTCGACAGCAAGGACAATCTTCATCAAACGGTCGTTGAAACGTTCCACGCTAACTATCGAGTCACGGAAACGTCGTGAGACGATTATGGCCACACCGTTAGGCCCTGGTCCTTGGCTTGCCGCAAAGAATGGCTTTAAAGCCCCGGCCAAGGTCTCTCGACTTGCAACAGGACCATCTTGTTTCCTGCACTGCACGGAGATCGATTCGTCTGCGCTCAAGTGCCTCTGCTAATTCCCATGAACGTCCGGATCAAGGTTCCAACGTTTAACGTTGCAGTACGGACTTTGAAAGCTACACTGCCAGGATTTTGGACTAGCCTGGTCGCCCCGTCCCGATGCCGTCCTTGCACCGAGGACCCTCACATACTTTCCACACTCGCGGGGTCCGTCTGCGGGAGTCGACGCGCACAGTGCGCGTCGACTCCCGCGGACGCCGTAGCATTATCTCGATATACATGTGGCAAGACCAAACATGTTGATGTGACATGGGTGTTCGTAGGCTGCCCGTCACGGAGGCCTGTCACCTGCGTTCGGCATCTGCGTTTGGCAACTCGCAAAGCGGGCAGTACCCAGAGGCACCGCGTGGAGGAGCAGACTTCACCACCAACCAGTCGCGTTATATGGCGCTGAATGTTGACCTACGACCAAAGACCTTGAAGCGCGCCTAAGAGTCATTTAGATGAAAATGTTGCGATGTACAGCCGGTGTCACGCATACGGATCAATGCGCAATGACGACATAAGGAGAGCTTCGGTGTAGCTCCTGTGGCTGAGAAAAATGCGCGAAGTTCGCTCCGATGGTATGGTCATGTTCTTCGCGCGAATTATGACACCGTCCGTAGGATTCGTCTCGAGATGTCGCCCAAAGCGGGCAGTACCCAGAGGCACCGCGTGGAGGAGCAGACTTCATCACCAACCAGTCGCGTTATATGGCGCTGAATGTTGACCTACGACCAAAGACAGCGCGCCTAAGAGTCATTTAGATGAAAATGTTGCGATGTACAGCCGGTGTCACGCATACGGATCGCAGCAGATCTGTAGCTCCTGTGGCTGAGAAAATGCGCGAAGTTCGCCTCCGATGGTATGGTCATGTTCTTCGCGCGAATTATGACACCGTCCGTAGGATTCGTCTTGAGCTCGGAACCCGGAAAGCGGTCTAAAAGACGCCCGCAGCGCTGTCAGACACCTTGCATGCGGTCTTAAAGGTAGTTGGCACCCATTTCAATCAAGCGCTCAATTGGGAGAAGTGGCGTAACAAGATAAGACGAGCGGACCCTGCTACAGAGCGGGGTAAACGCTGAAGAAAAAGGAGAAGAAACTGGGGTTATCAAGAGCATACACATAGAAATGCTCTATGGTGCACTTTCGAGAAATATATGTATAGAAAGTGTGTAATATTGTCTCATCACTTCTCTTCTTTTGGGTTAAGACAGCTCCTACAATCCGAACTAATCAACAAAATTTGTGCTTTGCTCAACTACCTTGCCCGCTTTCAGTCTAGACTGTTCTCCTTTCGAAATCGTGAAGCCATGGAATGTATCTGACTTTTATACAACATTTCCGAAAAATGTACCACAGAAAAGAGTATATTGTAAAGCTCATCATGTGACTAGCACCGTACAAGTGCATCTCGGTTATGAGGCTTAGGTCAACCAAGTTCTCTCACTGCGAAGGCCAAAGGGTGATCTTTATGGCATCTTACAGCCGACTCAGGAAAGACGCGTTCTAGTGCTAAAGCCTCTCATGTGAAATTTTTGAAATATGCCCCATTACTATACATGGAATTCTGCTGGCGTAGAGGTAGATCTTGCATTTCCTTGCCTTTCCTCTAAAACGCGACAGAGTCCACGAAGAAGGCTTGCTCACTTTTTGATGTCATAAGGTCTTTCAGAATCTTTGCGACGCAAATGGCGCTGAAGGTTCGAAGGTGGTAGTCGGAGAGAGCGAGATTTGGAGAGTGAAGTATGTAGGGTACGACGCTGCATATGTACGCCATCAGCTCACTCTTGTCAACTCTTGAACAGCCACATCATAGTCGTGGCATCACGCGCACTAGCAGAGTACTTTCTAGGTCGACTAGAGGTGCAGACGCAAAGAGAGGGCTGATGCGAAGCAACAATGCTATGCTGCGTGGGTTGGGTTCTATTGCGAAAGCTGCGTATGTCATACCGCTTGGGACCAAGCTGTGGGAAGTTGACCGGTGGAAGGGATCTATGAGGCGGGTTGTATTATGCAAAAATTTTCCACAAGAAAATGTGGCATGTCTGCAACACTTGATGATTTATGCATACTTTACTAAATTCATTCATCCATAAAATGAACCCGTGATAAGTATAAATAGGACTACTTCACTTCCGAGCCAAGGTCTCAAATGGTGCTGAAGAAAGCATTGAAAGAAAGCACACAACATAAAAGATAACGTAGTGTCATACAGAGCACAGAAGGGCGGAAGAGAATGTGAGGCCACGTTCATACTATTCGATTCATCCGCGCGACTGCGACTGACTGCGTTCCGCAGCAATCGCTGGAGCGCTGCAAATTCCGAGACAGGTTTTTTACTGACTGTGACTAAATCAGCTGCTGCAGCGCTCCAACGATTTCCGATGGACCGCGGTTATTCGCAGTCGCGCGACTAAGGCAGCGTTCATACTTCGCGACAGCAGCGGCGATTGTGGCGATCGTCGGAACTGGTCGGCGTGCGCCTCAACACTATTACATGGACGCTCCGAACACTGAGAAAATTGGCTTGACTGCGCTTTTCTTTTAATTGCAATTGTCTCTGAAACGAAATCATGTTTCAAATCAAGGGAAGGTAGACCAAACCTGATGGCTTTTTTTTCTTTTGAATTCAGGATAGAAATGAGCTAAAAACGTGGGAGCTTCAGTCAGGGTAAGTTTCTTATTGTTTCTTTTTTCATTCTTCGATCTTATACATGAAGTTATAAGGTTTTCTCCTGTTGATGTTGCATAAAAGAATTAGTGTTTTGGTTTCTAGGTGAGTTTCTTTTTGTTTCTCTTTTCGTTGTTTGAACTCGACTTGTAACTATAAATGTTTTGGAAGTTGGAACAGTTTAGACAATAGGAAACTTTTGAGACGCCTGTATAGATTGAAACAATGAAAACAAAAAGAAGCTCACCTAGAAAATGAAGTTGTCCTTATCCTGGCGATTAGTTTGCAAATTTCGTGGAGGAATACACCTTGGAGTTCGCACAGTTTGCAACGGAGGAAGAGCCCTTACCATCAGCACTTTTCTGTCATCGCGAACATCGAAGGCTTCCAAATATCAATGATGAGAAACCCTGGAGAACAGCTAGTCTTCTTTTGTAGTTAAGTTTGCGGTCCAGTTCAGATGTTCTTGGTAGCCAATAGGGTTACGCTTGCAATGTGGTCTTGTTGAGGTGTGGTTTTGGTTTCATTCCATAGGACAAGCTTTCAGCGCTAGCTTTGGTTTAGCTCCCCATCCAAATATTGTAAGGATTGGGACAATCGTCAGTGAATGGAGATTCCCTGTGCGTGTCATGAGTAGTCTCCAGAACAAGACAATCCCTTTCTTCTTTGACGAGTTTGTGATCAGCGCGTACTCACTGCGATTCTAACAATGACAGGCCACCCTCCCACCTCGGTTTGTTGCTTCCTAAAATGGAATAAGCTCCGTATTGTAAGGGATCATTGCAGAGAAGTTAGACTACCTGTTTGAAAAGCTTTCGGTCAAAGAACACGATAGATTATGCGGTACCCTTAACACCATTCAATAGTGCTCGCTTAGCTGGCTCTAGTCTGCGTCTCTAAGAAAGAACCCTTTGGCTACATCCCTGTTAGAATACCGGCATGGTGTGCGGCTGGCCTTGTCCCTCAGAATAGCATGGTATTGTTAGGGGCTAAATTCAAAACTGAATGTAAGTGGAAACAGCGATGTCTCAAGACTGACCGCCTATGTTGCAAACAAATTGCTCATCGTGCCAGGTAGCTGTGCCGCACTGGATATGCAGAAACGAAACAGCTCATCGAAGATGTTAAGACATGCTAGCTGGTCAAGGATAACATCAATTTTATCCGCTTTACTTTGCACTTCGTCAACTACTTGTTCTTTGTACTTTTCTTCGACTATCCTACCCTAATCCTAGCTTAGTCAGCTAGTTGGTGACTGAATCTACGGTTATACAAGTACGGAGTACAACCGAATTGGTGGTTGCTTGCTTCTGGTGTTCCATGCATTCAATCAGCACAATTTAAATGCAGGACTAAAACGATGTAGTAGTCAGGGTGTTTCTGTAGTGTCTGCCTTACATGGCAGCGCGCCAAAGGGAGCGCGCGCTACACGCATCACGCGGACAGGTCGAGAAATAGACGCGATAGAAGGTAAAACCGCCTACCTCGTATTCCAGATTCTCTTGAGTACAGTATTTCGTATGTTTCCCCTTAGTACCCATTATTAAGAGAAAAACGGTCTCACAAGTTGTATTTCCTTGTTTATCAAAAGCGAGCGGTGCAAGTAAGAGCGCTGGGGAGCGCTCTGCCAAGCCGCTGCTATCGCGAAGTATGAACGCTACCTAATGACTCTCCTCGCCAGGCTACATACAAATATGTAATCTTATCTAGAAAACAAAAACTATATATCAGAGTAAGAACTCTATTCTTTTCTCGTTAACAAGTTGATGACAAACTGGATCCATTAGAAGGCAGTAGCTTGAGGAAATAGCCAATTACACTCCAGAAATGGTTTTCTGCTCGAAATTGCGTCCGTAGTTACTTATAACCATTAAAATCATTATCAACGGTAAGTAGAGCAAGCTGTAAAGGAAAGAAAAATTCGACAAAAGTCAGGAAATTTCATCGAAATTGTTCGAAGAGGTATGTTCAAGAGTCGAACCTATAAAAAAATAACCGTCGTGAGTTGCTAGCATCAGGAGCGGAGTAAAATTTATATGCCAGCCAACACAAATATACATTAACAGGAAGGGAATCTGAATAGGCAAACATATCCTGAGCGTCAAAAAATAGATTCGTTGATAATCGAAATGATATGGATTATAGGCCTGATAAGGGCCGAAAATTGCGTTCAATTCTCTGTTCAGCCGCAGCGGTGAATTAAGCACGCTCTCGTCAGAAGGAAAGGGATAAAAGTAGTTCATCCAAAGCGGTACTGCGCGATATGCTGCCAGCTTTGAAGATGTGAGGCCGTGTTACCAGTCACAATGGCTATTTTTGTAGCCTGCTTTCATGATTCTTCTCCTTTTATATCTCCTGTGCACACTGCTGCTGCTTCTGAATATGCACAACGAACATCTTAATTCACCCTACATCAGCACTGGTAGCGGTTTTCATGGCTACCAGATGAGCTGATGTAGTGTGAACTAAGATGTTCTTTGAGCTACGACCCACGACGGTACCACTCATGGTTCTTGGCGTCACCCCGAGGGATTCCTCCCAAGATATCGGGAGGCGTCAGAACGAATAAATCGCAAATCTTCCGCATGAAATATGCTCACTACTCCGAAGACAACAGCTCGATTCGACACGTTGGGCCTCCTTGAATTAATGTTCCACATAGCAACCACGTAAGGCGCAAACGGGGTAAAACATTGTTTTCCATCAAATCAAACCTGTGGTAAACTCTGGGGCCCTCTACATGGACCTAAGCGCAAGCATTTTCATCATCCTGGTACATCTTCATGGGTAGCTGAAGAAGCCTTACAAGAATATGATCGACCGTAATTGAGAACTTGCTACTCTACACATACCTATAGCAAAACTGAGCGTCGTGAGATTCGACATTGGAGCTGCAACACTACAAAGTCCAACCAAAGCTAAACTATGCCTAATTGATGTAACTCGACATAGACGCTCATTGGTAACGCACATGACCCGATATCCAGCCTGAACAGAGTACAATATAAAGGAATTAGATCGACTGAGTAGAAAATAGTACGCTACTCCAACACTTCACTTAATAACAGTGATGCGGCTTACACTGTACCGAAACTAATTTCAGTCCCCAAGCCCCGAACCGGTGAAAAGCGTTTGTGAGTAGCTTGCCTTTAGCAGATTACAATAAACTTCAATCTGAACCGGCTCTTCTTGTTAGACGTGCGAGCGCTGGAAGGCAAAATCCCAAATAGCCATTGAGCTGACCAGGAGATCAGCTTGGCCATTTGCAATGAGGTGCACAGCGTTATACCCTTCTGAGACGATTATCTCCAATCTATCTTTAAAACACCGTTATACTCGTCTGAGACGATGATCTCAAATCTATCTTCAACACACTGAACGCCGCGTAAATTGTCGGCAATGGAAGCGCATAATCCCGTTCCTCGCGTTTGTGTATTGCCCACAATTCACGTTTTGTGGATCGGTATTCTCGTGGGTAATAATGCGACCTGAACCATTCTCACCGAGTATATGTTCAGTGAGCTTTGCCAATGCTTCATTCTTGATGGCGTGGAATAAGCTGCTCATTTGAGTAATTCTTTAATATTACAAAATAGTAGTCAGTAATTGTGTGTTATATTAATTCTTATGATAGCTCCACATCACTACAATGTCGTAAGACTACTAGCGATAATTAGTGTTAATTTAGAACACGATAGTGTCTAATTCATTATGATAGCAATACTTATGTTGTCAAAACTGACATTTACATCTTCTACGTTGTCCAGATCCATCTGTACAGATGAAAGAAGTCATCATTCACATTGAACAATGTAGCAATGAGCGAAAAAGTAACCAGAATGAGCGTGTAGGGGCATGCGGCACAGGGACTCCCGTTCGCGCGTTTGTGTATTGCAGGCAATTCACGTGCGCGGAGACGCAGAAAGTGAAAACGGGAGTCGTCGCAAAAACGCCGCGGCGTTCAATGTGTTAGAACTTGCGAAACGACTCTAAGAGCGAGTTCTGGAGGTTTTCCTCCGCGAGCAGCTGTTTTATATGTTATCGCGATGAAACGTGGAATCCTTACAAATACATGGGCGGAGGCCAAAAAAGGACACTTCGCCCGAGGCACATACCAATAAAGAATGCGCAGCTCAGAGACAAGACTGGATAAGAGTAAGAGGGCGGAAGATATCCAAGATGTTCCTCAATAAGCAGAAGCAAGCTCTCGCCCATCACCTTCATGAACTCCAAAATATGAAGCCATCTGCAATCGCAGCCGAGCTGAATAGGACCTATGGATTTCTGATCATCCCAAAGAGCTGCGAACCTTCTTGTATCGAGTCACCCACAGGCAGCTGCTTGGGGACCGGCCCTCTTGTTCTGGAAAACCTACAACATCGAGCAGCTCCGACAATGTCGCTATGGTCCAGGATTTCATCTTCTCTGCAGTCGCCAAAGCGCAAATGGATGATGTGGACCGGAAGTTTCTGGAATGGAAAGACCGATATTGTCTTCGTGGACCCGAACTGAAGGTGAACGCTGACTATTACATCGAGCAGCTCGAGTAGTATATCGTGCCTTCATGTCGTTGCCTGTACCGTCTAGGTAACTTTGCACTGCCACAGTTTCGATGCCGGCACATGGAATGAAGAAACTCTTGCCTACCTGAAGTTGAAGGGCGCTGAGTATCTGAAGAAACGGAATATTTAACTGTGTTACCTGCCTAAACTCCCTCGATTGCCGGGATCGGGCGGAGCTCAACAGGGTGGTCTACAGTGAAGGAGAAATCAACGACTCCACTGAACGCAGGCACCGAGTCACGGTCGCGTGGCAGAATCTCTCGAAGGCGTTCGTCCAGAAGGCTGTGGCAGAGTTTCATATGTGTACTGTATGTGGAAGGTCATTCCTACACGTGGTAGTAGAGCGCAACAGGTAGCGAGCGGGCTCTCCAGGCGAGAGCTCGTGGGTTCCATACCCTTTTTGCCTTTTTCATGAACCTAGCCGAGAAAGCCTGGTGGTGAAGTCCGCTCCTCCGCGTGGTGCCACTGGGAACTGCCCGCTTCTACGGCTGAGCCGAACGCGGACACTCGAAAGCAGGTGGCAGGCCTTCGTGACGGGCCGGCCTACGAACACCCAAGTCACATCACCTATCTTCAATATGCCATATGAATTCCGAATCAATACCACGGCGTCCGCGGGAGCCGACGCGCACTCGCGAAGCCCGACGAGTTTGAAAAGTATGCGAAGGTCCCTGATGCAAGGACGGTATCGGGGAGGGGGGGGGGGCAGCCAGGCTAGTAAAAAGTCCTGCAACGTTGAAAAAATCTGCGTAGCAACGTTGAATGTTGGAACGCTGATGGGGCGCTCATGCGTGCTGGCAGAGGCACTGGAGCGCAGACGTGTAGACCTGTGCGCTGTGCAGGAAACGAGATGGTCCAGCTGCAAATCAAGGGACATTGGTCGAGGCTTCAAAGCCCTTCTAGCAAACGGAGTGGCTGTACTAGTCTCTCAACGTTTCCGGAACTCGATAGCAAGCGTAGAACGCTCCGATGACCGCCGGATGAAGATCGTCGAACAGCGGCTCTACCACTTCCTTTCTGCCTGCGCTCCACAAACGGGATGTTCCGAGCGATCCAAGGTTGAGTTCTGGTCCCTGCGAAGACAGCTGAGATATCGTCAGAGGACGTTGTAATTGTTGCCGGTGACCTAACTGGCACGTAGGCGCTACAAAAAGACAAAAGACTACAGTTGTCATGGTGGTTTCGGTTATGGATCTCATAACGCTGATGGCGAGTGAATTCTTGAGTATGCGGAAGCCCATAACCTAGTCATCGTGAATACAAAGTTTCGTAAGCGCGACCTCCACCTGATCAGCCAACGCCAGGTCCAGACGGGTCCAGCGATGTGGTTCCGAGAGGATTAAATGGCGTTCGAAAGAAAAGATGCAGATGATCTCTCGTATTCGACTTCCCACCGTCACGACTGTTGATTAGACCTGAAAAGTGCTGCTAAGGCGATACATGGACCGCTCGTTCCGAACTTGGCATCAGAAGCCTGGAAGGTGTAGAATCGATAAGCGGCCGTGGTTGTGGACCGATAATGTCAAAAAAATGGTTCGCGAGAAGAAGAGTAGATACCACGCGTTTCTTGACAAGAAGTCTTCTAGTAGCTGGCGTAAGTACAAAGAAGCGAAGAATGCAGCGAAGAAGGCTGTGGCTGCAGCGAAGGCCGCCCACTTCAAAGAGGTCAGTAAGCAACTGGATTCACGCGATGTAGAGCGGCACCTCTACCCTTGCCAAGGCTCGGCATCGTCAGACCGAATATCTCGAGAAATTACCTGGCGTCAACGACGAGCACGGCTGTCTTTTGATGGACCAAATGAGGGTGCTCAGGCGATGGCACGACTTTTTTGAGAATATTTGAACCGTAGAGTATGTATGCGCACCCGGCCATCCCTTCCCCGCAGTATACGGTCCCGTTCAGAAAGTAACCGTAGAAGAGACGGAGGCGGATCTCAGAAAGATGAAGTCAGGCAAAGCAACAGGACCTGACAACGTAGCAACGGACTTATGGAAGGCAAGGGGCTGGTACCCTGCACAATGGTTGACGGACTTCTTCAATCAGGTTGTTGCTGAGAAGAAGACGCTCAAGGTGGCGAGAGAGCACGACGACTCCGATTTGGAAGAAGAAGGGCAGCCTTGTGGAATGCTTGAGCTACCGTCCGATTCGCCTGCTGCCACACAGCATAAAAATATTTGAGCGAATTGATGACAGGCGTAGGCATCCTGTACTCCAGCTCAAAGAGGCGCGTGCATATCCAACGGGCACTTAGCAGGAATTTCCCAGTCACGTGGGGTGCATTCAAGGCTCAGCACCCTACCCACTTCTTTTCCGTGGTCGTCTTAGATGCAATGTGGGGATGCAATATTTCAAAAGCCAAGTCCGTGGACCTCTTCTACGCAGACGACGTGTGTGCTGGCCAGTGCAGATAAAGAGCCGACTCGAGCAACAGGTGCAAGCTTGGTCTGATCGCCTGCGACAAAGTTCGGGACTGAAGTTGAACATCAAAGAAAACGAGTAGCCATCAGCGACATCGAGCTCACACGCATAAGAGCCTTCAAGTATCTCGGATCAGAAATTGTGTTTGATGGCGGGCTGACCTCGAAGGTAAACCCTTGTGTGAGTGCAGCATGGGAAAAATGGCGCTAGAAGACTGGAGTTCTCTGGGACAAGACCATACCTGAGCGCCTCAAATCGAAGATTTATAGAAATGTGGTCAGACCAGTAGCGTTGCACGGGGCTGAGTGCTGGCCTGCAACCAAAGAAGTCGAAGCCTGTGATGGAGATGAAAATGCTCCGCTGGACGGCCGGTATCACGCGAATGGATCGGATTTGCAAGGATGACATACGCAAGAAATACGGCGTGGCTTTCATAGTTTATGAAATGCTAGAATCTCGCCTCCGATGGAATGGCCACGTACTTCGCACGAAGACGGACACCGTCCGTAAGACTGCTCTCCAGCTTGAGGTGCTCGGTAAACGAACTGAAGGACGCTCCAGGCAGCGTTGATTGACACGCTGCACGCGGATTTAAAGATAGTTGGTGCTCACCTGACCAGGCATTCGACCGGGATAAATGGCATAAGAAAATCAGGAGAACTGACCCTGCTACAGAGCGGGACAAACGCTGAAGAATAAGAAGAAGAAGATAGCTGACAAAGCCTCTAGCTGCTCGCTTACAGTATCCTGTGAGGGATTCTGCAATCAGTTCTCCTTCTGAAAGTGTAGAACTCCTTTGTGGCCTGTAAAAGTGCTTGCGCCTGTCCCCCTCGTAACGCGTGTCATGAAGGGGGTGTGTGGTGTTCTTAAAAGATTTCACTTCATACCATGCCTCTTGGGTTGCCTAACTTAACTGCTCTTTCGCTTACTCCTGGCCTTCCCTCTACTTGACAATTACATCATAACAGCAGATTACTTATTGCTGATTCGTTAGCAAATTTTAAAAACTAAGAAGTATTAGGTTGGCCCATAAGTAATGATATTTTTTTGTCACACAAATTGTTATATGGAAAACGACAAATGCTGCCTATACGTTCCACACTGTTTTATAGAGTTTTCCGCACTATAAGATAGTATAATTACCTTCTTACTATTTCCCGACTTGTGTCGATTTTTATTTCATTGAAAGGGAAATTAGGGTCGACCCAAAAGTGAGTTTTCGACAACTTTTTGCAATTTACCTTGACTTCCGAATTACTGCAGAAGCTCTAAACTTGTGGTATATACCATTTTCACTTTGACCACTTTTTAAACCAAGTTCACCACTTTTCTAAACCAAATTCACCACCCTTCAAGCCAAATTCACCACTTTCCAAATCAAATTCACCACTGTTTTTAGACCGGGCAGTTCCAAAACCAGATCACGCCAGACACTACTCCGAGCCCCGCTTCTACGGTCGCGTATACTTCAGCCCGGACATGGATTTTCAACAAATCGACACATGGCCGACTCCCCCATTCCTCAAACAGTTTGCTGCGAACTTCGAAATTTCATAACTTTTTCACCTTTTTGATTTCACATCCATGCATAACAAAGATACTCGTACCCGCGCATTTATGCACTGGCAACTTAGGCTCCGCTCCCTTGGCCACGCCTACCGGCTTTTTGCGGAATTTTGATTTTTTTTCTTCGAAATTTTGTGCATTTCTGGACTGCAACATGAAACCCCGCCCACTATTAGAAGGTCCACCCACTTCTCAAGCCCTGAACACTTTTCAAAAATGGTGCAAATCGGCAGTACAGAGTCTTGGCTTGCACGCCAGAGTCTCGTCCGTCACTCGTAACAAATAATTCAGGCAAAGTTTGTTACGAGTCACGGACGAGACCGTAGCAAGCAAAGCCAAGACTCTATACTGCCCATTTGCACCATTTTTGAAAAAAGGGCGGGGCTTCTCCGAAGTCGACGGAGCTTTCCACAGCGGGCGGGGCTTCGCCTAGCAGTCCAAAAAAGTGCGAAAATTTTGAAAAAAAAATTCAAAATCCCGCAAAAAGCAAGTGTGCGTGGCTAAGGAGGCGGAGCATAAATTGCCAGTGCATGGCGCGGGTACGACTATATTCTTTGTGCAAAGAGTGGATGTGAAATCAAAAAGTTGAAAAAGTTATGAAATTTCGAAGTTCGCAATAAACTCTGAGGAATGGGCGGAGTCGGCCATGTGTCGATGTGTTGAAAATGTGTCCGGGCGACAAGTAGACGTGACCATCGGAGCGGAGCTCGCAGTGGTGTCTGGCGTGTTCTGGTTGGTGAACCGCCCGGTATAAAAAGAGTGGTGAATTAGATTTGAAAAGTGGTGAAGTTTATTTGAAAAGTGGTGAATTTGGTTTGAAAAGTGGTGAATTTGGTTTAAAAGGAGTGAATTTGGTTTAAAAGGTGGTGAATTCAAAGTGAAAATGGTACATACGGCCAAAGAAAGATGCATCTTATGACAGCTTGAAGTCGCTTCAAGCGATCAAAAGGTGGAGTTCGGACCTTGTAAAAGAACATTGCGTGAAGGGCCTCTTGGGGAGAGACTGCCTGCAGAACCTACCCACTTATTTTCGAACGTCTAACATCAACTGAGGGTGGTGGTTGATAATGATAAGGAGGCATTCAATGACCTCTAACGATCCCTCATCTTTGGCATGATTCTCACTTAATAGGTAATTCCGTAAGCTCTCAGTTGTAGAAAATAGGGCATTAGGTCCGATGCTTGTCTGTGATGTCGAAACTGGGATCTTCGAATCACTCAAAGTATTATCAACATTCCTAAGAGACACAGCCTTTTAGCCATGTACTTGGCAGCTGGGCCCATGCGGTTTTAGCTTTTTGATTAGAGGTGTGAAAGAGAGGCTGTCGAAAATGCTCAATTTCGTCGGCCTGACACCCCAGTTTGAGCACTTAAATATTAGTGGCAAGAGAAACTTGAAGAAAACTAAGAGCGCGTTCAGACTTCGCGATCGCGCGATCCGGATCGCGTGATTTGGATCGCGCGATCGCTGTGATCGCGTGATTTGGATCGCGCGATCGCGCTACTGTGGGTGAAATTACACCGGGAGGGGTCATGTTTGTTCGTGTTCAAGTCAACACAACAAACAACAAACAACAACAAAGTTCGTGGGGAGTCGTACTGATATCACCATTTCTCACATTCAACGAATGCTTGTATCCTGCCCTAAAATAGGCAGTTCAAAAACGATATAAAAGTAGTTCGACCTTTTTAGATGTCTTTTATCTCGTGTTCATATTCGCCAATTCTGACGTTTGCAGAAACCGTCGAAAGGAAAGGTTGTGTATAGACCTGGAGGATGGCAGAACAAACAAAGGCAAACACAATGTGACAAAAAGTAAAGTGAATAGAATATCTGGAAGAACTGGCAAAATCGGGAGGAAGGGAGAGAAACAAACGTCACCCGCTGTTGAAAGTTCTGCGTGTCTTACTTTTGGTAACAAGATGTTCGATTACTCCGGCTTGAACGTACTCAGATGCAGAATTCAGTATAAAATTGCATATTGAATAGTTAGTACTATTTTACACAGGAAATAATAAAGTAACTCGAAGATATTCGAAACGTTCCTTAAAATTAGGAGGGCGTTATGTACACCAAAGGAAGAAAGAAGGAAAAGGAAAAAAAAAAGAACAGGAACAATAAACAATGAACTAACATGATCCCCAATTTCACCCACAGTAGCGGCGATCGCGAGCGATCCAGATCGCGCGATCACAGCGATCGCGCGAAGCCAAATCACGCGATCACAGAGATCGCGCGATCCGCGAAGAGTCTGAAACGCGCTCTAAGAAGACTATCGTGCAGGACAAAACGGAATAAAACTCAACGGCAAAACGTTTCTTCTTCTCACGCCTTCGAGTGGGGAAAAATGCATTACTTATGGGCCGACCCGATACAATGTGAAAAACCTTATCGCATAAAAAAATCAAAGGTTAAAAGCATGCTAAAATGATTTAGAATGAAACACACAAATTAAGCTTAGATGGTAGTTTATCACAAGAATGCTGAAGTTGTGCCCCAGGCGGGAGTCGAACCCGCACCTCAGGCTTTCCGGGCGAGTGCGCTATCCGTTACGCCACCAGGGCCACTTTTGCCCTCCCAGCTTGACGGCTTTTATGCCGTAGCCTGTCAGCACTCACACGTTTAACTTGGTGAGCCGGTCAGCCGTAATCGATGGGATATCGGCATGAAACCGCGAGGCCTAAGGCTTACGCCCCCGCGTACTGCGGCGTTAAACAGCAGTTATCATAACAAAACAGCTCCTTAGATGGTAGTGTTAGCAACAAATTTAGACATTTTCTGAAATATTTCAGGAACAGATCATTTGGGATAGCCCGTCGTGAAAACAACAGGAATTTTTTCGACACATGCCCTTTTTCCCATTAAATTGTAGTAAGTCCATGTTGTGTACGTCTGCATTTAAGCTGCTCTTAGTGGTTGAGTGTGTTCTTAACATTTTAAATTTATCAAAGCGTCTTCTTTTCTGACATTTTCTCGTTTACTCTTATTTTTGCCTTCTACTTTCCATGTAATGGCTCGTGTCTGTCAACGAGAGGTCAAGAGTAAGCGAGAGAGCAATTAAGTCAGGCAACGACACGACAACGACATGCATGTCAGACAACGACACGACAACAACATGCAAGTCTCCCCGAGAGGCATGAGGTGTGAAGTGAGATCTTTTAAGAAAGTCCTACACCCCACGAGGTTGTCGCACTGAATTAGTGCGACATACTCGGCGGATCGAATTACCTCTGTAAGCAGGATTTCCAGAGAGATCTGAGATTTCTGGGGATTCTATAAGTAATTAGCAGCAGAATAGAGCTTACCTACCATCGATGACTGGTCTCAGGATGGAATTTCCTACCGGCCATCAGGAAAATAATGCAGGTGGTGCGAATAAGTGAGCCAGGTATTATTCTTTGCGAAAAGACATGGTCAAAGTGTTATTTTAGAGTTTCGAAGACCAGTCATCGGTAGTAGGCTACTATTTAGTTAGCCATGACTAAACTGACTACATTTTTTCGAAGTTGACTCAGAACCTCACATTTCGCTAGTGGCGTCGCTGGGGTTATTTGACTCTGTGAACACGAATATGATACCCATTTTAAGCGAAGAGCACACTGCACCACGCTACATGCTAACGCTTCGGCGCCAGCTCAGCTTGAAGAAAAAAACAGTATGGAAAAACTTCCATAGCTCCGCTCAAGAAATCGTTCCGCAAATATTGAAGACACATTTGAGTTTATCGTCTCAAGACGAGTATAGTGGTGTGCACCCTCATCGGAAACGGTCGGGCGGACCTGGTGTACTTCCTTGGTGAGAGGGTAAGAGCGGCCTCGGTAGCGTAATGGATAACGCAACCACTCGGTGAGCGGGAGGTGCGGGCCCCGTCCCAACCGTAGTCGACTGCCCATAACTCAGCACTCTTGTGATCTTTAGCACCAATACCAAAAGCTTACGAATAACCGTGAAGTCGTGCGAAACGGGAGATTTTTCGCGAAGTGATGCTTGTGTAGGATGGCATGGGTTAATCCACCGGGAGAATTATAACAGCTAACCAGAAAAAGCTAATTCGCGCTCAAAATTCACGACAATCAAAGGAACGGCTGTAATAGTATAGTAGCTAAATCAGCAACCTTACTGTAGTCTCCTCGAAGATTCCACGACAATCCATTGAAATGCGGAAATTGCCAGGAATATAGGATAGCAGCCAGACAGAGAGCTGATGCGTCAATCGAACCTGTCGCTGCTGCGAACCCCATCAGCGGCGGAATCGCTCCGACCTAACAAAATACTTCTCTAGTAAGGCTGACCAGATTAAATTGCACAAGAAATGCTTTGAAATGAACAAAAACATGTGCCAACTAAAAAAAAGTGAACATGTTGGTCTAAAACGTAAATGAACTACGAACGGGACAAAAAATGGGCAATCTCACCACGGCACCGGCCCAAGTACACGCAATATGCGCACGTTTAAGCGGTGTATATACGCCTGCGTAAAGGATAAGGTTTAACATTCCAAGAGCAGCAGAAAGCGGATTCGCAAATACATACAATGTTGTTATACCCGCAACAGTCGCCACACTGGCAAATGAAAGCGCATGAAGTGGCGAGAACCTTGAAATAGAAAATAGCATGGTATGGAATGATTACAAGATTTTTTCAGCATTTTCATAGAGGTAATGCGTCACCTGTGAACCACGAGAACGCGACTTTGTGTGCGCTTCATTTGAGCATCGTAAGGTGCTTCAAGCAATTGATTGCAGGCATTAGCGGATGAAGAAAGTAAAGCAGTACCTTAAGAAAAAGCATTCTGCTGCACTCTGCACTCAGTACTGGCCCCTTCTTCGAGACTCGGTCCAGATTTTAATCGAAGTTTCCCTGTGGGTATACTTGGCAGGATGTTTGTCCCTTGAGTTTTTTGGTCCATTCAGCACGGATATAACTCCACAAAACCAGCTGTAACCTGCACCACATGTCAAAAAACCACGAAACGCATGTACAGAAAACTTGTCTCAAGGGGTAACGGCGCGAGTGGCGCCTTCGCCAGAACTGGGTGCTGACACTAGGGCGCCTGGCGTTTTCGTTTCAATTGGATGCATTAGGCAGCGTTCAGACTTGTAGCACTACAGCGTCGCGCTACAGCGTCGCGCTACAGCGTAGCGCTACAGCGCCGCTTCGCAACGTACTGCTATTTCCAACGTTAGGATGGTTAGAGTTGCTTACAGAGAAAAGTGGGAAGGTTGCTGGAGTTTTCTTGAGAAATTCACGGAAAGGTGAGACTGATACAGCTGTAAGTATCTGACGCCATCCTTGACAGTTACTCCATTAGTCACTATTTTTCTGGTATTGCTTTTAGCGCAACAGTGTCCTTCTGTCCTAATAAGAGCATTTTCTGCAAAAAAACACCCAAAGAGTACTCGCGCCACCTAAAAACACCATGGCTTGCCACCTGTACGTGGATGCCGAAACCTATTCCGTCATAGGAGTCAACGTGAGGCACTGCAAGGCATCAAGCAAAGCCATCAAACATCAATAGCAACTCTGAAACCAAATAATTAAAGTCAAAAACGGTAAATAAAACCAATTATCACAGTCTTCTGTATCAAAAACTACATTAATATGTGATAAAGTAAAAAACAGGAGCTCACTATCAGATAAATACGAGAAACAAAGAGAAAAGGGTTGAATATAGGAAGAATGAATACAGAATCCAATGCCGCATGGATTATGGAGCGAAATCTGCTTTCCGAATTTGCCCCCAATCTCTGCCTGACCACAAGAAAAAGATTTATGCCGGTTTTCGAGGCATTCACAGCCAACAAAACTTTGACAGTTTCTTGTATGTTTTTGGCCTAGGAGCGTAAAAATGGCCTTATCTCCCACAACAGGAACGTGAACACTGTCTGGTCACCAATGCGTTAACACAAGGCAAACAAGAAGTTCCTTTATGGTTCTTCTGTCTCCGGTAAAAAAAAACATGCGTGCGTGTTTTTAGGTGGCGCGAGTACTCTTTAGGTGTTTTTTGCAGAAAATGCTCTTAATAGTACAGAAGGACACTGTTACGCTAAAAGTAGTACCAGAAAAATAGTGACTAATGGAGCAACTGTCAAGGATGGCGTCAGCTAGTTACAGCTGTATCAGTCTCACCTCAATTCTCAAGGAAACTCCAGCAACCTTCCCACTTTTCTCCGTAAGCAACTCTAATCATCCTAACGTTGGAAATGGCAGTACGTTGCGAAGCGGCGCTATGCTGTAGCGCGACGCTGTAGCGCTACGCAGTAGCGCGACGCTGTAGCGCTACAAGTCTGAACGCTGCCTTATTTGCGCTAAGGGTCAGGCTAGCACTGATTCCACGGTTTTGGCCAAATCCACCTCTTTGAGAAACGTAATCCATGACTCTGGCGCTTACAAATGTTCAAGGGAACCCTTCCGTCCTTTCTTGGAAGCCGGTCAGTCTTTAGTCGATTGTTTTGCCTCACTGAATGGTTTGTAATGTATGTGTAATAGTTGTAGGCAATGCATGTTATATTTGTAGACCTGAGGAAGGGGAAGGCCCGAAACATCGTCGATGAGATAAACGACCTGGAAGGGTTTCATTTTATCAGTCACAAAGAAGGCTTACAGCACAATTAAGCACAGAAATCCACTGATATTACATTAATTTTTTGTTGCCATTTGAAACATTTTGGGATGTTCAACTGTGAAAGGGAAACAACTCTCTAATTCACTGAAAAAACTCAGTTATTTCTTGGGCTACTATACAAGCGATTCTTTTACTTCTGCTCAATCGAAAATTTGCTATAACTTCCAGGTGATGGAAAAAAGGCACCTATTGCGCTTCGCAAAGAGGTTATGGCAAAACAGTGGAAATGTTGGGGCGCAACCGTGCATCAAAGCTTTTCCTTCAATGAAAACAGTCGATTACGTGCAGAAAGTATATCCGTGTAACAGCTTTCTTTCTCTCATGAAGGCGTAGCGTGATGTCGCTCACGCTCACCGGTTTGAGATTATGAGTTTGGACCAAGGGAAATAATTGATATCGATGTGACGGTTTGAGGGAGGGCGGGGTGGGAGGGTAGATAAATCACAGAACGGTCGTTTTGGGAGATGCGCGCCAAAGGAGTGGATGGGTATCCGGGTGACAGCGTTGTGGAAGAACCAGAAGATCTTGGAATGTTCGCAAATGAACCTTAGATATAGACTTGGAAGAACAGAAGAATATGGCAACTGATCGATTTCCGTGCACTTTTGGGTACACATTTCCCGTCGATTTCGCGATACTCCTACACTCCCGAGTCGCGGCTTAACCTATATCCTCGTGTCTAGCAGATGGTCACTGGCGAGAAGGGGACTGCACAGACACTATGTGAAACATTATTGTTCCTTCATAGTGTGTTACCAAGACATTAAAAATAAAACTCGCTTCAAAATCCCATAGGATTGAACCTAATAGTTCGATAAAATATTAAGAAAAAGAACCTGCCGCACATGCCACAAGAGGGACCACTGATATAGTTACAGGTGCCATAAGAAAGCCAGCAACAGCTGCAAGAAGAGGCATTTACAAGGGGATAATTCGTGATTAGGTAGAAAAATAAACAAAATCACACCAGTGGACGTGATCAGCATAGTCAGCTTTGATTTGGATAATTGCAAATAAGCCGAAAGTAGCCCTTTAGGTTCCATTTTTGTCCAAAGCTCTAGCCGCGTTTCAGGAACTGCACGAAAATAAGGAGAAATCAAGAACAAGTCAAATATGAGAAGACTGTGAGAGCTTGCACTGAACTGCACTCTATGGAGGGAGCGCGCCTGCGTAATTCGTTTGAACACAGTATGGGACGCGTTTTTTGCATGATATTTTCACTTGAGCTCACTGCGTGCTGGAAAACGAATCACAATAATCCAAAATTGACTATTCCATCCGAAGCGCACCCATCGCCATATTCAAATGATGCAGGCAGTCACGCTCTCCCCATCTGCGAATCTATACTGTGTACAAACCGTACATGCTAAACATCCTATTGACTGCGCACCATGTCGACAAAATGTCAGTATCGTTACGAACCTATTAAATTGATCTTTTTTCTTGGTATCCTTTTTCCAAGCTCGAAAATCGCCGGTGGTGGTGCAGCTGACGGCATTTCGTCCTCGACTGGTTGTGTCTATAAAGAGAGCAAAATCTTTAAAAGGAGGAGCAAATACACAAAAGTTGATTTTTAACGCATGAGAACTTCACTGCATTATACAGTGTAGAACGAGGTACGTCGCAAATGCAAGCGAGTAAGTTCACTAATTCCATGGGTATCGGGTGCTTTTACTATGAACTGCACGTCGCATTCTGATGTTGTATGAATTAGTCACATGATAGACAAAAGATAAAGCTTTCGTCGCTCATCAGTTCCTTTCGAACACAGGCTGGAGTTCTAACACATCAGAAATCGGAGAGGCATTTTTATTAGGATATGGTCCACACAATAACTTGCGAAGAATGGTCGATCCACAAGTCAGTGTTTATTTCCTCCCAGAAGAAACCTGCCTAATTGAGGATCCTGGATGCATTGAAAGCTTGCCTGGCCTGGGCGGAAACCGGTCTGGGATTTGAGCCCGTGCTGCGCGCGTATCATTACACCTCCTTAAACAGTCACATTATATTCTATCAATGGAACAGTACGGTGCTAACTTCAGCAGGCGAACAACCATACATCGTACCCCCAAATGAGCCGTAAATAAATCTGGATGCGCACCAGACATGGTATCTCACGACAAAACGTCGAAATTGCTTGGGGAATTTCGACGTGATGCTAAGGATATTGTCAAATTGTGATTGAACGAGGATCGAGCAGAGCGCGAGAAGGGCGCAAAAACAGTCACTCGTCGATATGGGCGCGAAAGTACCCTATATAAGGGACCGTCGGATTTCGAAACTGAGAGTCTTCGTCTCGAGTCTGCTGAGTCAACAAGCCGCCGTTATCCCATCGTCTCCTCTCGCAACTCCCGAGCTGATGTCGCGTGTTCGTCTATCGGCCACTGATACTCTACCTTCTGAAGTTCGCTGTACATTGCTGTTATTCACTTACTCTGTTATTTCTACTGACTTGTACTGTCTTGTGACTGTTAATATAAGAAACAAGGGTAATACCCAACACACTATCTATCCCCTTTTTTTAACTTGGGGGCCAAAGCCAATTTGACAGCCGTTTGACATTCCAGGTTTTCTTATTTTCTCTTGCCTTTTTCTACTGACTACTCCTAGTTGGGCGTTGTAGAATATCTGACGGCTCTGCAAAGGGTGTCAGGTTTAGCAGCGGTACCGATAGCAATAGCTGTCGTTGATACCGTGGTGTCTTGGCTACTCGCCAACGAACCGACGCGATAATCCGTGGGTTGGTAGTGGAAAGAGAAGCCATGACACTTAACAGCGTTTGTGATTGATGGGTCGTGAAGCGCATCAAGAGTGTGATACTGCGTTTGAGACAGACGATATCCATCTTGTTACATAGTCTCACGAGCAGATGCCCGGTGAAATGGAGAACGTGGTTAGCTCGCACAGTTCTGATTCGGATTCAGACATTGGGATGCAGGTATGCCTCAAATCGATAGAGAGAGAGTCAACCGCTTGCGGGTGATGGCTCGAAGCGGAAATTGCGAAACATTTTCGCCTAGGTGATAGTAAGCGCGACCAGATTCAGGCTGTGCTAGAACAGAACACGGCGCGCATTTTGAAAAGGTTGCAGCGTCTGAAGGAAACCACTGAGAAACGCACTTGCGCTCTGGCTACCTTAGACAAGTCAAAGAGCATTTCGACTTGACCAGCGAAGATGATGTGGCCAATAAACTAGAACAGCTAGTTATAGGCGAGTGCACCCTGAATAAGTTAGCTAGGAAGCTTAACTGCGATAAAACAGGTGTTAAACGTCGTGTGAAAGGGTTGATAAAGAATGAAACCGTTCTAACGAATTCAGTATCATCTTTGCAGGAGGTTTGCAACCAAAAGGACGAAGAGATTCGAGCGTTCAAGGAAGAGCTCGAGAAGCAGAAGCGACGATTGGCCGAGCTCAAAGACTCTCAAGACCGTGAAGGACGGTTAAGGCAGCATCAACATTACCAGGTAGGGTAATGCCCGGAATTAGTAGCGTCAATGATGCCAGTGATGTCAATGAGTCTGATGAACACTTTCAGAGTGGCTGGCACATGCGGGTGAAAAAGAAGGGCTGTCGTCGCGAGAGGTTCAGCAGTTCGTCGAGGAGGAACTGCAAGGATCCTGGTATGAGTCATGACTATTTGAATACTTCAAATAGCGAGTATGAGTGAAAGAGAAGTACGGAGACACCGTAGGAAGTCAAGTGTAAGGACCCAAGATAAGATGGGAGAGCATTTGAGATATGTAGCCTTACCTGACGTTTCACCACTCTGGAAAAGAAAAGAGTACTCGTTTGAAAACTTTGTACAAGCGTTTCAGCTGAAATACCCTGGACAATATTGGGAAGATAAAGAACGCTGCGCTTTGTTCAAATCAAAGTTAACGGGTAAGGCGAGAGCGCAGTATGAAGCGTTGCCCAAAACCAAAAAAGTGACTTTTACACAACACATTGGTTAATGCCATAAAAGAAATGTGTAAGGAAGAGACACGGAATAAAAAGGTTGTCGCACTAGGTGAATTAAAACGGCTGCAGAAACCAGAAACACAGTCAGTAGGGGATTTCTGCCTTGGGTTAGTATGGCTAACGCGTAGAGCTTATCCGGAGCTAGACGAAAGGACGCTTGTCAGTCATCCGCGCAGACCATCTATATGATCAGTTGTCTCACTGGGATGAGTCCTGTCACCTGCAAGAAGCTCTGGAAGGACCTGGTGGCGATATGTATGAAAGGCTGAAAGATGCCGCTATGAGGGCTGAAAGAAGACACCTAGCCCTCGAAAGCCGTGCGAAGAGCAAGCCGCCGCACAGCTCGTGGATTGAGGCCAAAGGGAAACGCTTTCAAAGGAGGAGTACGAAGGAGGCCTATAGAGGACATAAAGAGGAAAACTGTAAGACTGAGATCGTAGCCAGTCAGGACAGTAAGGCGAATAAAGAACTACAAAATATGAAATGCTTCCGGTGCAAAGGCACGCGACTGCAAGAGCACAGCGGCTAGAGAACCGAAAAGTCCTATGTCCTTATCGGCACGAGTTCGTGAAACGAAGCGTAGTAATGTTCGCACTAGGCACGGGCAACTCCACGGTAGATCTTCTCCGCAAATTGTCGGCAAACGATCGACAATAGACGTGAAAGTTTTTGGCAGAGACAGAAAGGCTTTGTTAGATACGGGATCAGAAGTATCGATTTTGCCGTCGAGAGTACTCAAGGAGGGCAACGAGTGACGAAATCGACATCGATGCGGTAGTCAAGGAGATCCCAGTACCCAAATCGCTGAAGATCACTGATGCTTCAGGAAGGGTGATGAACTTTTTGACCGCGGTGGACATTGATGTAGCGGACAAAAGTGATAAAAAACATAGCTTTGTAAGAATAGTGTCCAGATCGGAGGAGAACCTAATCATTCTCGGAACGAATGCGACGTGACGGACAAGAACTATGTTTTCGCGGTGGAGGATAGCGAGTTGACGCAGACTTCTCTTGTAGCTCATGACATTGACAGGGGACTACTAAGCCTATTCGGCAAAAGACGCGACCTGTCCCCATAGGCGCTCGTGATGAGTTCAAGGATATTCTTAGCAGCCTGCTCCAACGAGGAATCATTGAGCGGTCGACATCAGAGTGGGCGTCGCCGGTAGTGCTTCTGCGGAAGAAAGACGGAACCCTCCGGTTATGCATTGACTATCGTCAATTGAATAAATGCACGAAGCACGACGCCTACCCGCTGCCAGGAATTGATACCATGATGCAAAGTTTGCAAGGGAAACGATTCTTCTCGACGCTTGATATGGCATCGGGATATTGGCAGATTCCTCTAATCGCCGCAACAAAGGAGAAGAGTGCTTTCACAACATCAGAAGGTCTCTTCCAGTTTACAGTTCTTCCATTCGGTTTAACCACGTCGCCCGCTGTTTTTCAACGGCTGGTGGACAGGGTGTTACGTGAGTTAAAGAACAAGGAAGTTTTCGTTTATATACGACATCCTTATTGCTACTGCGTCGGAAAGTATACACTACGAAGTGCTACAAATGGTTATGGACGCGTTGTTAGAGGCCAACTTGCGGCTCAGGCCTCAAAAGTGTGTACTTCTACAAGAAAACGTGGCATTTCTTGGTCACAGAATCGACGGGAAAGGAGTGCACGTAGATCCTGACAAGGTCGTGAAGATAAAGGAGTTAGCCCACCAACATAGCGGAACTCCGTACATTTCTCGGTATGTGCAGCTATTACCGTAAATTCGTGCTCAACTTCTCTAAAATAACAAGTCCCTTGTTCGAATTAACAAGGACGAAGGTACCGTGGAAATGGGACGCTGCCCAGGATAAAGCTTTCGCGACGCTCAAAGAAGTGCTGTCAATCATTCCCTGAGGTGTTGGCGCAACCTGACGTCGAAGGGGCACAGTCATTGAAGAACCCGTACATAATCTTACGGATGCGTCGCAAATGGGCGTAGGAGCTGTGCTTTGCCAGCAAGGACTGGATGAGTTTCCCCATCCAATATACTTTGCATCAAATCGTCTGACAAAAGCAGAGCGGAACTATCATGTTACTGACCTTGAGGCGCTCGCCTTGGTATTCGCTTTGAAGAAATTTCACTTCTTCATTTACGGCATGCAAATAATCGCGAGAACGGATCATGCGCCGCTGACGGCGATATTTCGGAGAAGCAATGTTTCTCCGCGCATACTCAGATGGGCTCTGGAAGTCCAGCAGTACCGGCTCACGATTGAGCATGTGAAAGGGAAAACAAACCCAGTTGCTGATGCACTATCGCGAGGTGTACCTATTAATACGCCGGAATCGGAAGATCTTTTCGCGGAATAAAAAGTAGTGTGCAGCATCGAAGCAAATGAAGCCTCCGCATGGCTGGATGAGTTACGCAATTATATCGAGTATGGGCCGATCATCGTCGCATTGGAGGAAGGAAACCTCGAAGAAGTGAAATTACAGTCGTCGCGAAAAAGACTCAAAGCGGCCGATTTTGCCCTGAAAAATGGTCAGTTGAA